TGATATATTTCCTCCTACATTTCCCATCACTTGGAAGAAAGGGGACAATCACACTGGGTTTGTCTCCAAGCTCTGAAGTTGCCGCTCTGAGGTTGGAAGTGAGATAATCAAAGCAAAGATGCCAGCCACAGATGCTGGCAAAATGTCAGAAAGAAACTCTTCTAGAACATGGCCGCACAGCCCGAAAAAACCCACAAAAAAAACTATGGATGCCGGCCATGAAAGCCTACGACTTCACAAATCAAGGCAAGCATCACTGCAAGGGGTGAGGTATCCGCGCTGAGCTTTGTAAGATGCATCCAATGCAATAGTTTGATGCAACAAAGGGTGCATCTACACTATAGAAACAATGCAGTCTGACACCACTTTAGCTGCCATGGCTCCATCCTACAGAATCATGGGATTTGCAGTTTTGTGAGGCACTAGCTATAGCCCCATTGTGAATCCCTTTTACATACTCCTGCCTACTTCTCATGGGCCACCGTTCAACGAGTGACAAGAAATATAAATGTGAAATCACACTGGAACTGAGGGAGCTGCTGCCACATTGCAAAATTAATACAGTTTGTTACCACTTTAACTGCCACAACTCAGAGTTGTAGAATCCTGGGATTTGTTGTGTGTTGTGTTGTAGCACCAGAGCTCTCTGACACAGAAGGCCACATATCTCACAAAACTACAAATCCCAGAAGCCATTACTCCCAGTATGCTTGATGGGCATGAACCATCAAGAACTTTTGGGGTAGAATTCAGAGACATTGTAATGACAGTCTGCAGTATCTGAATGCAAAGTGATCTTGTGGCACTTTTGAGACTGAGCAAAAAAAAAAAAGTTGTAGCTGAGGAAGTAGTAGTAGTTCTGAAGAAGTAGACCAACAAGTCTACAAAAGCTTATGCTACAACTTCTTTCACCCAGCTAGTCTCAAATGTCCTCCTACAAGATCCCTTTGCATGCATCAAGAACTTTGTTAGGAAACACTTTAAAAACAGAAGTCAGAGATGTTAATGCATTCCTAGAGCTTATTCTAACAAGTTCCCCATCTCTCACGTAACACTGCATTTTAAGAATCATAGAATCATAGAATCATAGAGTTGGAAGAGACCACAAGGGCCATCCAGTCCAACCCCCTGCCATGCAGGAACTCCCAATCAAAGCATCCCTGACAGATGGCCATCCAGCCTCTGCTTAAAGACCTCCAAGGAAGGAGATTCCACTACTCTCCGAGGAAGGAGTGTGTTCCACTGTCGAACCGCCCTTACTGTCAGGAGATAGCTATGGGCTTCAATGCCTATAAGCCCACCCTCTAAACCAGATCCCACCTGGTTTTCCCATCTGGTGAAAAATGTTGCACTCTGTGTATACTCAAGGAAACATTCTCTGCAAAAGCTTTGTTCATCCCAGGATGAAATCCAAAGAGGCAAAGCATGAGATGGCAGCTTGTAGGGAAAGTCTCTTAGAGGCTCAGCCATAGAAACTGATTCTAAAAAGGGCTCTCCACGTCAAAAAGGTTGGGAACCCCTGCTCTAGAACTACAGTTCCCAAACCGTGGACCTCCAAGTGTTTTGGACTCCCAGAAATCCAGCCAGCTTGGCCAAGTCAGGAATTCTGGGAACCAAAGTTCAAAATATCTGGGGCACCAAAGTTTGGGGGAAAATGGTCTAGAGAAGATGCACCCCATTTCTAAAGCAGCTGAAAAAGTAGGAAGACAGAAGATTAAATGGGTCTGTCCCTGCTAAATCAGGACAATTGGAGGGTATGCATGTGTAAGAAAAATGTGTGTGCAGACACATCTTCAAGTCGCCTGTGGACTCATGGCAATCTCACGGATTTCACAGGGTTTTCTTTTAGCCAAGGAATCCTCAGAGGCGGTTCTGCCAATTCCTTCCTCTAAAATGCAGCCGGCAGCACCTGGTATACATTGGTGATACCCCATCCAAGAACTAAGCTGCCTTGAGTCCCTGTACCGGGAGGAACAATCAATCAATCAATAACATAATGAATCAATATCAATCAATCAATATCAATCAATCAATAACATGAATAAATAAATAAACAGGCTGGCTTCCAAGATCAGACTGAATCTGGTGTCTTTAGGGTAGAAAACACCAACAGGACACTGGCCAAAGTCTTGGGGAGCTTTGGAATTGTTGGTTCTGCTTGGGAACACAGAATCATAGAATCCTAGAGTTGGAAGTGACCCCAAGGGCCATCCAGTCCAACCCCATTCTGCCATGCAGGAACTCCCAATCAAAGCATCCCCGACAGATGGCCATCCAGCCTCTGCTAAAGACCTCCAAGGAAGGAGACTCCACCAAAATCTCCGAGGGAGTGTGTGTCCGACTCCAGCTCAACCTGAACCTCTTTGGGACTTTTGTGATTCTGTGACATTCATTTGCAAGCGAACGCATGGAGAGGTGGTGCTGCTCCACTCAAGTGAGTTGCTCTGTTCCCAGTCCATGTGGGAAGAATAAGAAAGAGCAACTGAATTCCCTTGCCTGCCCACCCCCAGAAGGTTTAGCAAGAGGCGTCTGTCCCAGACTAGACCATATAGAGTCATAATGGAGCACCGCCAGCGCTTAGCAGCTGAGAGAGAGAGAGGATGTGAAGAGAGAGGGAAGGAATCCCCCCATAAACAAGCTGAAACATCAGCAACCGCATGCAAGCGAAGACTGGAAGCATGATTGCCGACGGGTGCACTGCCAACATCCACTGCCTGGCATCTAACAACCGATCCGGTGTTTCCCCTCTATGGGCCAAACCTTTTCTAAAGCAGTGGAGTATACTTGGCCTGTGCCTTCAAGTTGTTTCTGACCTGCGGCAACCCTAACGTGAACCTATCAAGGGGTTTTCTTGGAAAGATTGGTTCAGAAAGGGTTTGCTTTTGCCTTCCTCTGTGGCTGAGAGAGTGCGACTTGGCCAATATCACCCATTGAGTCCTCTCTACACCACAGCTGGCTCTCATGGAATATATGGGACTGCAGTTCCCATCTGCTGCAGGAAGTCTGAAGGATGAGAGGTGTGGTTCATCCACATTTGGTATACCCCAGCTTGGTCCTCCTTGTACCCACAAAATTTGTTATTATCTCCTCAAAGAGATAGAGATCCTCAGTGAGGAATAAAAGTAGAAGAGCGCCATAAAAAGCCCTTTTCTGCAGGAAAAAACAACAACAAAAGCAGTTCCCAAAGGTGTGGTTGTGGTTGTGAGTCATGTATAAGGTGGGATATACATGAAATGAATGAATGAACGAATGATTATACAAATAACTGGTTGGGGGTCAGATCAGCTATTAATAATATCAGTAACAACTGTAAAAGCACTTTGGGGCCAGCCCCTATAAGCTCAGCAATAAGAGATAATAGTAAATGGATTTCTACGAAACAATACTACTAATGATTTTATCATTGCAAAAATCGCAAACATCCATCACACCAACAACAGACGTGATTGTTTCATGGTATATGTTCATATTATTATTATTATTATTATTATTATTATTATTATTTGTATGTTTTTAGATTGTATGCCATTTGGCAGGTTTTACTACTACGTTGACTATTCACTATGTACAGTGCCTTATAAATTTTACAGCGCTGTATAAATAAACTTTAATAACAATAATGATGATGATGATGATGATGATAGTAGTAGTAGTATCCTGCCCTTCCCACAAAATTGGGACTCAGTGCCCCTTAAAATATTTAAAAATAAACACACAAAACACCAGTACAATTCAAAAGATACAAAACTGATACATTAGAACAGAAGGAAATCATTACAGTATTAAAAATAGGTGACATTTTTCACTTGTGTTTCATGGGTCTTGGCTGTAAAAGGCTGTCAGCCGCCTTGAGCCCCATTGCTGAAAGAAA